TATTGAATGCTTCCGGTCTAGGCATGGGATCCGGTTCGCGTTCCGGTTCGGATGACGGAATGGAACGAATCGCACTCGTGCACAGTCACTCTCGATCCACTTTAACCGGGACTCAGACCAGTCCAGGTCTGGCCTATATGGTCTTATCCGCCACCCAAGCTGGAGTCGGAATGTCCACTCCATTGGCCGGTGATCCAATTGCTGTCACGGCCACTAGTTCTCCTCGATACTATACCCGAGGCTCGGACAGTTCGGAAACAAATACGGGTGGTCCGAATGGACAACCGACTCTACAAGATCTACCCAATACAGCTATCCCACTGCAAGCTTCAGCGCATAACATAATTGTATCCCTTCTGCCCTGCCTTCCCACGTCATCAGCCGGACCGGTGTCTTCGTCTTCATCTCAGCACACACCATCTGGGAGCATGGTCGCAGCCTGGTCACCGGAGTTAGACAACGGTCCAGGCATTGGTGGCGGCCTGCCATCTCCTGAAGTACTCGATCCCGCAACGCCCGCAACAAGTCAGCCCTCGTTTCCCCACTCAAGTTCAACACAGACTGAATGCTGGGTATATTCCATACCACAACGTCCACCCATATCCAGTAACGTGGTTGTCGCTACGAGTACCTGCGGTAATGGTGGCAAACTTCAGACACCAGAACTCACTTCTACGACACAGATTTTGGTCGCCCCGGTTTGTTCCATCCTGACTGACACCATGGTAAGTGTTTCGTGCTTTCGATCAATCAGTTGGTTATTCAACTGTGTACAAAATGTTCTGTGAGCTGAAATTAATAATAATATCGTTTGAAACTGATAAGAAAAAGCCGTAAATTATGCGTAACATTTACTGTCGACAGTCAGCACATCTGTACGCTACAGGGCGTATCTCTGGATCGCATGTTGGAAAAAGTTGCTGATTGGCTTTATCCTAATCGGATAAACAAGCGGACGCGGATGATCAGCTGTGATGATGCCCGAGGGACACGTGAATTTTCATCCGATTCTCGCCGTCCATCCGGGTGTCACCGTTGTCCGTGGAAAGCATTGTGGCGTGTGCGAATCTGGTCTACCACCATCGTCCTTTTACCCTACAGATAGTCATTTGCTGTGCAAGCTATCTAAAACTCAATGAAGCCGACTTTTCCTCACGTAGCAGAAAGTTACACAGGGAGTGAAATAATCTATCAAATGGGTAAACGTGTATGATGGTGTGGACGGAAACCCACCGCTGATCGATTATATGAGTTTCCCTGTTCCTTGATTTATGAGGTAAATCTCAGCTTGCAAGCCAGTAGCTGACAGATTCCATCAATAACCTCGCACTCAGGTGTGCCAGTTTCGATTAGTATCATTCGATTATGCTTTAAGTCGAACGGTGACGAAGGGAATGGGAGAGATAGAAGCTGTCTAGCGCCAAGCAGGTGAATTCCTTATTGAGGGGATGAAATACGTACCAAAAAATCCGGCAACAAAGAATCAAACAATTTGAAACAGAGTAGTTGCGTTTTCCTAGAGAACATCGGATTGGTCCAACGAACTAAGAGTTCACTCACATGTTTTGCACACACACGGAGTTCACTATTGCGTTTTTATTATTATTCGTTATTCGTATTAATCTAGTGGGTCATAGAAAACACTGAGGCTATGACTCTTATAAATAGTAGTTGTGCTTTTACGGTCTCTTGTAGTTTATCGATATCCCCCCCCCTGGTGTTCTGGGATTTGTTTAGGCAACACTCAGCTGTTCGTTCATCCCTTAATCTGTGAACCTTGCTCACCGGAAATCTGCGAACTGCTTCATTCGTCAAAAATCTTCACAGAAACCGCCCAAAATGGATTTTTGTTCAGGTTTTCCAGTTTGCTTTCTTTTTACTCGAGGTTCCCTCAATCTCAGTTTTAGAGTGGCATCAAATCGCTTATTTATTCTTCCACACACTCAAGGGCATTTGTTCGAAGCTGATCAGGTTGCACTCTGTGTATGAAGTGATGACTGTGCATACTGGGGTCACACATTGTTGTATATGTATACAGTTTGTCTGTTTCTGTTGTGTTGAAGATGCTAACTGGTCTGACTAACATCAACATTTCGTTTTTATGAACGTGCACACACACACACACACACACACTAGCGCTCTCGTACACTCATGGGTAATAGTCGTTTGTAAATAATCAACACACTGCCCTAACCGCGTCGATCTGTCTGTCACGTCGTTACTTTTCTGTCAAATCGGTACACGGCACACGAATCATCCAACACAGCTGCACTCTCCTCCAGTCCGACGGTGTACATTTTCTAAGTGGATTGCTTATGAATGTCTCGTACAGCCCCAGTCCTCGAATCACGGACTGGTCCGTTTTCGAGTTGGAACACCTTTTTTGTTCGTCTTTTGTTTCGGTTGACTTTTTCAGGGCCCTCTGAACTGGCGACTTGCGAGATGAATAAGAGACAAGTCTATGGCCGTGATAACTAACCCCATCGATTTCCCAGTCCGCCTCTTTG